CCTGAGCCAAAATCAAGAGTCGAACACTTAACTGACTGAGCCACTGGGCGCCCCTCTAGTAGCCATATTTAAAAAAATAAAAATACAATAGGTGAAATTAATTTTAAGGATATATTTTTATTTAACCCACTATATCCAGGATTTAATCATTTCAACCTGTGATCAATATTGACAAATAACTAATAGGATACTTAATGTTCTCTTTTTCATATAAAGTATTTGAAATCCCGTGCATATTTTTACACTTACAGCACATCTTGATTCAGACTAGCCATAATTCAAGTGTTCAAAAGTCACACATAGCTAATGGTACCATACTGGAGAGCAGAGGTCTACAGAGTAGTCAGTACAGGAATCGTTCAGGAATTAATTTACTATATTTACAACAGAATTACGTGAAGAAAATAAAGTATAAGGCCTACTACAAGACTTATTCTTTTTAGAAGGAAACTACGCTGAAATGTATTTCTTCAGTGAGATATTAACGTGTATGTTACAAAGCAGTAAGGATCTGTTAGGTGTTAGCTGGGTAGAAAGAGCAATACCCTGTTTAAAGAATACTCCGCTTTTTAAAATTTTTTCGTTTTTCAAGTTTTTATTTAAATTCCAGTTAGTTAACATGGATGTAATATTAGCTGCACGAGAATCTGGTGATTCCCCACTTATATACAATAGCTGGTGCTCACCACAAGTGCCCTCCTTAATACCCATCACCTTCACCTCCAGCAAACCTCAGTGTGTTCTCTACAGTTAAGAGTGTTTTCTGGTTGGCCCCTCTCTTCTCTTTTTTTCCCCTATGTTCATCTGTTTTGAAGAACCACTCTTCTTTAGGGAACTTAAAGCCCCTTTCAAAACCCCTATGTATGGCACACAAAGAGAACAAATGAAAGCCTCACGGCCCTTTACGTCTCAGCCAAAATCTTACTGCTGCTAAAGGCTTATACAAAAATAAACACTCAGTTCAGCAGTCTGGGAGAGGCAGAGATGGAGACACGAGAGGCAGGGGAGCCAGAGGAAGAACACAGCCGTGTGGTAGTCATGTTTAAGTCAATCTATATTCAAGGAGAAAACACAAATGCTGCTCTCTTAAGTTTCATAGAACTGAAACCGTCCAATTTTTAGGTATTTACGCTTTAAATGACACTATGTTAACAGAGAAAATAAATATAACTAAAACAGAACTCATTCCCTATTATACCTACTTTTTCTCCATAATCCAAAACAGGGCTTCAAATATTGTTAAGTATTAAAAAGTGTAAAAATAGAATAGATTTGTGAGGGAATGTTTCAGTGCTCTTGGCAGGCCAATTACTTTTCACATTTTTCTCATCACACTGTATTCTCTTTCTTCTGGGATTTGGAGCTACAGACGCAGCCCCTTCAAGTGCTGTCTGTTCAAGAGACGGGGAAACGTATGGTGCACTCCCCCTCATTAGTGCACCATCCCTTTAATGAAACAAGGCCCGAGAGAAGCAAGGAGAGTCATCAGACAACAGACCTGGCTATTACCAATTTCCTCCGCTCCTCGGTGGTATAGGGCTGCAGAAGAGGAATTCCTAATAATCTCACTTCTTCAAGTTTGGGGAATGAATTTAGTTTGTCAATGTCTTCCCAGGACTGCAAACCTGATTTGAGAAATATATCATTTAAGTAAATCCAGAAAAGCACACAAAAAAGAAGATTAACATAGAAAAAACTGCTTCAATTAATTTCTGAAATGTTAAAAATGATCGTAAACTAGTTAGAGATCCTGAAAATCTTCTTACGTGCAACGACAGAACAGAATACAAACACCATAAAAACCTCCCTAGAGCCGCTCCTCTCCCTATGATCCCAGTGGTCAAGGAGAAGAGAGCTTCATTCTCCAACATCCTACTAAGGTACTGATTGTCCATCCAAATGGCCTTGTAAAGAGGGTCACTGCCGGTTTCTATAAGCACGATGTATGCCATGATTACATTAAAAGAGGGACGTGGTCAACTTTTTCACCAGATACAGACTCACAGAACATAACTACTGATCAGAGTTAATACTGTCAAACTCACATTTTTACCTAACAAATTCTAAAATGGGGCAAGTTCAATAGAGCCAGAAAATAAATAATATCTTTCTTACATACTGCCCTCATTTTGGGGACAGGGAAAACAGATTTTAAAAGCAAAACAAACAAACAAAAGCAAAAACAGACAACCTGAACCACTGGGTCATGAGAACATGCAACAAATTAAGATTACTTAGTGCTAAAAGAAAAGTCTTCCTATGGCCCGTGAGCAAATATATCATCCAAGTCAATAGTTGGCACTTCCAGGAAAAACATGCCTGTAATAATGAACGTGGTCAATTTTATAACAGGCTCAGTCTATTTCAGAGAACAACACAGCCCCTTCCTCTCTCCATCAACCTGAAGCAAGGGTAAGCAGAGGAGTGATATATGAGGGCTCTGGTGTATACTGTCCCAAGCCACCACTGTTCTCTTCCCTTCAGTTGTGTCATAAGCAGCTTCCTTATGCAAAACACTGGTTTTTAAAACCTCATTCCCACCCTTATGACTTCCATGGCAAATTAAGCTGTGCGTTTTTTCAATTGTAGATTAGAGTTGTTTTTAGCTACATAGGTTTTAAGAAATGGGCCGAAAGACAATGTCAAGAGAATGAGAAGAAAAGTCACCGACTGGAAGAAGAGATTGGTTAAAAACACATCTGATAAGGGATTGTTGTCCAAAATATACAAAGAACTCTTAAAACTCAACAGTAAGGAAATAAACAACCTGAACTAAAAAATGAGCCAATGACCCAGACAGACACCTCCCCAAGATGGCAAATAAGCATGGGAAAAGATGCCTGACATCATAGGTCATTACAGAACTGCAAATTAAAACAAGATTCCACCAGCACACACCTAGAATGGCCGAAATCCAACACATTCACAGCACATAATGCTGACAAAGATGAGGAGCGGCAGCACGTCTCATTCGTGGCTGGTGGCACGCCAAGTGGGGCGGCCACTTTGGAAGACAGCAGGCAGTGTCTCATAAAACTACACATATTCTCACTGTATGATCCGGCAACCACGCGCCTTGGCATTTACCCAGATGAAATGAAAACTTATTGTCCACAAAAACCCCGCACACAGAGGTTTACAGCGGCTTTATTAATAAGTGCCAAAACTTTGAGGCAACCAAGATGTCCTTCAGCTTGTGAATGGATAAACAAACTGTGGCAGAGCCACACAATGGAAAGTTACTCAGCGCTGAAAAGAAATGAGCTATCAAGCCATGAGAAGATATAGAGGACACTTAAATGCGTATTATGAAGTGAAAGAAGCTTATCTGAAAAGGCCACATGCTGTATGAGTCCAACTATATGACATTCTGGAAAAGGCAAAACTACAGAGACAGTCAAAAGGTCTCTGCTGTTTGCCAGGGATTGGGCGTGTGGAGAGAAGAACAGGCAGAACCCAGTGGATTGTTAGGGCAGTGAAACTTTTATGTATGATACTATAGTGACAGATACATGTCATTCCACGTTTGTCCCAAGCACAGAACACCAAGAGTGAGCCCTCATGTGAGATACGGACTTTGGGTGATGATGCGAAAATGTAGGCTCGATTAACAGATGTATCACTTTGGTGCTGGAATGTTGAGAGTGGGGAGGTTGTGCATGGGGGTGGGGAGGTGCAGAGTATGCGGGAACTCAGTACTTCCTGCTCAATTCTGCTATGAATTTAAAACTGCTCTAAAACATAAAGTTTATTAGTTAAAAAAAAATAGCCTAAAAATACTCATTTCTGGGAGACACAGAATCAAATGGCAGCAAACTGGCTATCAATCCTGTCTAATACTACGTAACTACTATACCATGCTAGAAGAGAAAAGTAAACACTTAACAGGGTACGGTAGGTTGAAATTCCTTAACCTGAATCCAGACAAAATGGGCTAGTTTGTCATTCCTTGTACTCTGACTCTGCCTTTTACTGTCCAACTCATCAATCTGTCTCACTCCTTTCATGGTATGACCTCTTCAGCATATAAAACATAAACAGCTAATAAGATGCTATGCCACTTGGTATTTATCATTTACGAACACGGACGCCCTAAATTTAGCTAATCAACTGGCACCTGCATGTCACTCTTGAAAACGCATCCTACAAGGAGGCAGAGCCGTGACTGAAACAAATACACTATCATTGATCTCATGTGTAACCTCAGATCAATTTGCATGTACCTCACCTGACTTGTGGAGGCTGATGGATCGTAGATTAGGAAACAACCTGGCCAGTGAATCATCAGGCTCCTCAATAGCATTCAAATGATTGTTCGCCAGGACGAGAGTATCCAGTGAAGGAAACATAACTCCTAACTTTCGTATTTCAGTCCAGTCTTGGAGGTTATTGTCTGTTATATGTAGTAGCTTAAGAGAATGACAGCAAATAGAAGGACAAGACACTGTTTCATAGTCGTTAAGGCACAGGAAGAGCTCCTCCAAACTGCAGAGAAAAAAGGAAATATTTCATTGTTGAAAGCAGTTATGTTTCTACTTTGCACCTACTTTCATTTATTCGATTAAGAAATAAGTGCCTACTGTGTGTGAGGCTCTGGTAGGTATTGCGGGCAAGACATAAAGATGTCTTTCTAAAGCTTAAAATATAGCTGGAGACACAGAACCCAAAACACATAAAACTGCAGAGAACGATATAACCCAGGATGATAACCCACTAAATTAATTTTGTGCTTAAATAACTAAATGCTAAATAAGGCAGTACTCACTCTAAGATAGCAGTTCACATAGGAGTGGAATTGAAATTGTAGTTAGAATAGTCAGGGAAGACTGCATGGCCTTGAAGGAAGGGCAGACTTGCAAAAGTTGAGAGGAGATAGAGGAAAATCCCAGAAACAATGTGAACGCAATGTATGGAAACAGAAATATTAACTACCATTTACTAAATTCCTACCCTGAGCCAGGCCCTGTTCCAAGTGCTTTATAGACTGTACTATTTCTGCCAGGTAGATACAGTTACACCCATTTTACAGACAAGGAAACGGAGTTCATTCGCTTCTCAACGGTCATATGGCCAGTAGGGGGAAGCAGGCTCTCCAAGCTCATTCTCTGCCATGCCAGGGGTTGTGTGAAGTGAGTGGCAACCAGTCTCATTAGAGGGCTGGTGAGAAACTCAGATGGAATAAATGGGGTGAGACCAGATTCAAAAGGCTTTGATAAGTTCCATATTTAGACAAAGAAACTACAGTTTCACATATTTCTTTAAGCTGCTTCCTTTGAATACTCATGTGTTTATTCAAAGCTACATACAAACAAATGTAAGAAAGCATTTCTAAACTGACAAACAAAAGCATAATTTCTTGTTTAAATTATTGAAAAGAGTTCCATTTTCCCATCAGGCCAGCGAGGCACTTAATCATCTGAGTGTTAATATATTTTATAGATCGTATGATTTTTTCTTTTCGTCCCAAAGAAAAGCGCTGACGCAAAATTCTGAAATCAGGTAATCAGAAGATTAAAATGGAGAAAGGGTGGGTTGATCTAGAAATGATAAGTGCTTCTCAGGGATATTTTCTCGCCAAAGGATGACATATCTTATGTCTCGGTGCTACTCAACACTAAACAAGTATTCCAAAGAAAATGCTACTAAATTACCCTCATTCTAAGTAGTTCATTTTTCTAACTTCGTTCTCCATCCAATCTGCTGTTCTAGTGTTTCTGAGATGGGAGATCAGCAGTGATTCTATGTACTAACAAAGATGGCAACACAGCCCCCTCTCCATCATGCTCTCTGAGCTTACTCGGGTAACTCCTGCAGTATCGTGTGGACCGTCTCCCAAGAAGCTTTGCTGTTGTTGAGGACAAGTTTGCGAACCCCAGAGAAGGACCCAGCACATGTTCTTTCTAAAACCGACAAATTCAGAGGGTTGGAACTCAGGTTTAGAAACTCCAACTGGGGAACATTTGACACAATTTTACTGACCTGGGGAGAAAAAAAGAAATGCATATCAGGCAGTAATCAGAGTTTTAAAATCGCAATCATGCTCATAAAGCTTAAGTGAGTGGGGCTCCAGGCAAAAGGCCATTCACATTAGGGAGTCCTGTTAGTGACGATACCTACAGAGGGGCGTAAGTAATTTCAACAAATCTTGGCAAAGAATTTAATCTTTCTATGAAAGAGTGACATAATTGAAAATTAATGGTACAAAAGAAAGACTTTACACGTTGCCTTTGGCAAGGTTTTTGATTCTGTTCTGTATGATATTCTCTTTGATAAATGGAGAAAAGATAATTTTGATGACGTTTTAGGCTGCAAGTTTCTAGAGACCTGAGACTGGGTCACGTAACTCTCTTTGAATTTCTCCTTCCTTTTGTCCTCAGTACAATATTAAGGCTAATTAAAGATTTATTGAAGAACACACGGTAACAGCTCAGGTGTTCAAAACTGACATAACCACAATCACTTAGAAACAGTTTCGGGGCGCCTGGGTGGCTCAGTCGGTTAAGCGTCCGATTTCAGCTCAGGTCACGATCTCACGGTCCATGAGTTCGAGCCCCGCGTCGGGCTCTGGGCTGATGGCTCAGAGCCTGGAGCCTGTTTCCGATTCTGTGTCTCCCTCTCTCTCTGCCCCTCCCCCGTTCATGCTCTGTCTCTCTCGGTCCCAAAAATAAATAAACATAAAAAAAAAAGAAACAGTTTCAACTTGGGGTGCCTGGGCAGCTCAGTCAGTTGGGCGTCTGACTTCCGCTGAGGTCACGATCTTGTGGTTCGTGAGATCAAGCCCCGAGTCAGGCTCTGTGCCTCCCTCTCTCTCTGCCCCTCCTCCACTCATGCTCTATGTCTCAAAAATAAATAAAACATTTAAAAAAATTTTTTTTTAAAAAGAAACAGTTTCAATTTGGCTCAAAGATGACCAAATTGGGGGCACCTGGGTGGCTCAGTCAGTTGAGTGTCTGACTTCAGCTCAGGTCATGATCCTGTGGTTTCATGATCTCCTGGTTTGTGAGTTCAAGCCCCACATGGGGCTGTCTGCTGTCAGGGCAGATCCTCTGTCCCTCTCTCTCTGCCCCTCCCCCACTTGGCTCTCTCTCAAAAAAATAAGATAAAAGAAGATGACCAAACTTTATATACACTCAAAAACAAAAAGCATCCATAACAAAAGAGAAAACATGATCATCAATTTAATGATTTAGCTAGAAACTTGGGAGGAAAGAAGATTTTTTTAAAAAAAGGAAATCAGCATTACTCACCTTAACAATTAGCTCTACATAGTACTAGTCTCTTTTGATAAAGCTTATTTCACTCAATTCTCAAAACAACTTGCAAGATAAACTATTTTCATTTTAACAAATGAAGAAAGTCAGGCTCAGGAATGTTAAATAATTTGACTAAGGTCTCAGCATCACAAGAACCCAATCTAGGATTTAAAAATCAGAGCCACGGTTCTTCCAACATACCACAACTAGATTATAAACACAACCGGGGAAAAAAGAACGAGCTTAAACAAGTATGAAGTAAATGTTCAAAGCCCAGTAAATGTAGTAAGCATCAAATAGGAAATGTGGTGATTAAACGTTATGAGAAATAGGACTGTTTTCAGAGTCAAAAAAAGCTAGGTTCAAACCAGGTTCCAACACTTCCTAGCTGTGTGGTCTGACAAGTTACTTTACCTCCCCAACTCTCCATTTCCTCATTGGTAACTTAGAGACAATAGGACCCACCTGTTTCACAGGACTGTTGGGAATAAATGAGATAGAGTGTAAAGCACTGAACCCAGTGTAGAAACTGACTTCCTTACCTATTCCCCAATAGGATGTAAATTCCATAAAAGCAGGGGATAGTTCACTACTGCACAGTGGGTACTTAATGTTTGCTGAATAAATTAATGGCACAACATCATTCAATAAATGTAACTATTCCTAATATAGTAAGTATAGTATGAACCAATCTGTCAACCCTGGCTGTATGTTATATCGTATGGAATATCCTAGAAAGATAAAATTGGACTATAGTCTAATAATTCAAGCAGGAAAAAATAATATATGTTACAAATAAAAATATTCTTTAAAAGGTTAAGGCTAAAAAGGATTTGGGGGTAACCTTACACTAACGATAAGATTTTTGAAAATATATTAATTACACAGGCAAATGTACTTCTAAAAATGTCCTACAAACAAATATGAGCGAGTTTCTAGGGCAGTATACTGACTTACCTTTTTTAAACTCTAAAAAAAAAAAAAAAAAAGACTCCTTTTAGTTAGAGTGATACAGCTGACCCTTGAACAATGCAGAGGTTAGGGGCACCAACATCCCACAAAGTTGAAAATCTGCCTACAAGTTTTGACTCCCCTGAAACTTTACTGATAGCCTACTGTTGACAGGAAGCCTTAATGATAATGTAAACAGTCAATTAACTTATCTGTATGTTGTATGTATTATGGACTGTATTCTTACAATAAAGTGAGCTAGAGAAAATGTTTTTGTTTCGTCTTGTGTTTTAGTAATATGTGTTTTGTTTTCATATAGAGAAATATAAAGAAAACTAAAAAAGGCCCCAATTCAACAGCCCGGTAATCCTTAATGAAGTCAAAACAGAACAGTAACAAAATGTTCACAGTTATGAAATTTGAACAGAACAAATTCTTGCGATTCTTCCCAGAAAAAAAAAAAAGCATGCATATTCCAACATATACACTTACATCTGTAGATATTTTAAGAATTTTTACAAAAGAGATCCTCTCTTTTACACCTGACCTTTTTTTCTTCTTTTTCCTTTTTCTATATGTTTCAAGTTTTTATTTAAATCCTAGTTAGTTAACATATAGTGTAATATTAGTTTCGGGAGAAGAATTTAGTGATTCGTCACTTTCAGACAACAGCCAGTGCTCATCACAAGTGCCCTCCTTAGTACCCATCATTCATTTAGCCCATCCTCCACCCACCTAGAGAAAATGTTATTAAGAAAACCGTAAGGAAGAGAAAATATATTTACAGTACTGTCCTGCAAGAAGCCTGCATGTAAGTGGACCCACACAGTTCAAACCTGCGTTGTTCATGTGCCGAAACATGGAGTGAACTTACACGACCTTCTAGGTCTCTACAGTTCTATGATTTAATAGAGGAGCCTCTACTCTGCTTGTAAAAATGAAGAAACTAAAGTTTTAAGAAAAATGGGGAAAGGGTTGTAAGATAACAATCTGTAACTTATACCCAAGCTATTCTCTGCCTCACCTGAGGGGCTAATTCCTCCCTCCTCTCAACTACTTGGGTTAATTTCTCCTATAAAATGGTTTTGATAAGAAAGGGAGGAAAAAGGAGATGCCTTGGGAAATTCAAGTCAAAAGCTAAAAAATGCATCTTTTTTCACACACAGATGCCCAATTTTCAAAGGATGGAGACAAATCTTTGCCTCCCCTCACAGTATTACACTTCTCACTGATATTTATCTTTGTCCCTGAATATACATACAATAGCCAGTAGTTTAAACTACAAAAGAAGTTACTTATAACATTAGTGACCATTCAAAACACAAAAAGAACAAACTATCTTATTTTGTCCCACATTGCTATATCAAAAACTGGCCAAAATAAACTGACTTAACGGCCAGGGATGAATTTATCGTTTTGGTGATCAGGTACACAGGTTGTAATGAGGTCGAAATGTAATGTCTTAAAACTGTGACCTATGAATTTATCGTTTTGGTGATCAGGTACACAGGTTGTAATGAGGTCGAAATGTAATGCCTTAAAACTGTGACCATTTGTAGCCTGGCAGAGTTTAATCTACCCTAAAAATCAATATTCTTCTGCTGTCAGTGTTTCTCCCATCTCTCTGTGCTCTCTGATAGATATTCTAGAAGATTGGCATCAACTACAGTTAAAGCAAAGGACAAAATATAAAGGAATGATGAAAACAAAAATAAATTGGAAAATGGAAACCCGAATGGTAGCAGCAACAAAGATACATGTATATGTAAGAATATACATACAGAGCACAAATGAACATATGACCCTCTGGCCATACATGTTAATGGATGGAAAATATTTCGTGTAGACCTTTCTCTAAGCAGAGAAAAGGCTGAACTGCCTAGTGTAAACTCTGTGTTCTAATCCACACTGACATAGATTGTTCTTCCGAGGCACCAGCTCGATCACTGTTAAACTGTTCTCACCACTTGGCAAAAGCTTAGCTTATGTACGTGGTCAAAGCACAAAACCTTTGTGAAATTTTACACTCCCAAAGAAACACATTTAAGGGAATCAGCCTGCGAACATAGGATGTGAAATGATTCAGAGGAAAATGTGGTCTGACTTGTCACCCGTGCAGGTTAAAGACTCTCCCCGGGGGTTCAGCAGCGGACCACTGTGGGAATCCGGGAGACGGGGAGGGGTGAACCAGGCAGTTCTTGTTGCCTCTGTGCAGCATGGACACAGCATGCATGTCAACTAAGCATCTCAAAGGACCAAGAAGACAAAGACTGTAATCTGTTGAACAGTGAACTATACTAGTTGTTTAGATAAATGAATTAGTAAATAAATCCATGTACAAATAGAGATTATTTCTTGGAACACAAATCTGCATATATATTAACAAGTAACTTAAAAATCAAAGGACATGCATCTCAAAGAATTTGGTAAACATCTTAATAAAAATAGGAAATATAACCAGAAGCACAGTTATCAGAGTAAACAAGACTATGAAACAGACAAATAATAAGAAAAGCTAAAGAAAACTAGGTCACCGACAGGTTTTTCTTAAACAAAAAAGCTGTCTTGGAATCTGTATGGCATTTAATACCCACAAAGCACCTCAATGATTAGTTTTATCTGCAACCCCATCTTAGAGATGAGCAAAGCAAAACACCAAAGGATTAAGTGAGCTTCTTAGATCGCAGGAAAAGTTGGAGCAAGAGGTCTTGATCAATCCTTAAGATACAATCATTTGTTCATTAATGCATTCAACAAACATTTGAATACCTAGTATGACACTCTGGGTGCAGACGATAATAGAGACAAAAATCTCGACTTTTAATAAGCTCAGGGTCCAGGAGAAAAACTATCAAGTATACAAGTGACTGTACTACATTGTGATAAATGATCACATGTATCATAGCAGCATGATACAGGTGCTGGGATAATGTACTTCTGCCTGAATGAGAGCCGGGGAAAGTTTCATAGAGGAATAGTGACTTGGGTCAAGATACATAGGAAGGAAGAGGCCAGGGAGACAAGGAAAAACAGCAGTGGACTGAGAATGAATAAAAGCAAGGAAGCTTTTCATGTCAAGAGTTTATCATGAGCTGCAAGAAAAAGCATATGGCTAAAGATGGAGATAAAGCTCTAAAAGTAGCCAAGGGCCATATGGTGGAAGGCTACATTTAGAGAGTTCAGATCTTAGCAACTAAAGGACTTTAAGCAGGAGAGTGTCATAATCTTATTCCATTTATTAAAAGGAGTCTGGTTGCACTATAGAAGACAGCTTCCGGGAAGCCAGAAAATCCATCAGGAAACTTTCTCCACAGTTTAAGCAAGAAAGAAGATCCTAAATTAAGGCAGGAGAATGAATGAAGTAGGAAGAACTATTTTTCCCTAATTCTTTTTTATTGGAGAGGGAGAGAGAGGGAGAGAGGGAGAGAGGGAGAAAGAGGAAGAGAGGGAGAGAGGGAGAGAGAGAGACAGAGAGAGAGAGAGAGAGAGAGAGAGAGAGAGAGAGAGAGAGAGAGAACCTTAAGCAGACTCCACGCTCAGCACTAAGCCTGACGTAGGGTTCAATCCCATCACCCTGGGACCATGACCTGAGCCAAAATCAAGAGTCAGATGCTCAACTGAGCCACCCAGGCACCCCTTCTTCCCTAATTCTTAACAGTAGCTTCCACGAGGTAATTTTATCATCAGGTAGGCAATGTTATGTTGTTAATACTTTTATTTGTGTAGCTGGTTTGGCTTACTGTGAGGTCAAAAGACATCGGGTCTGTCAAATCACCTATGAGACTTAATAGAATAAGGAAAAGTTTTAAAATATTCGTTTTAGAAAAGTTCTTAAAATTTGGAGTAAATTTCAGTAATAAAAATTAATATTTTTACAATCTTAGTTTTGAGCTCAAGCAATCTTTATGTGAATTTCTAGTAATAAATGGTGAACAAGTGGTACAATGAACACAGGATGGGTAAACTAGTGAAAGAGTAGAAACTCCAATGCATTGTTGGCAGTCTATACCTCTGCAGCCTTATTAACCTCTAGATGCCTGGAATAAGGTTCCTTGGTGCTTTTCACATTAATGAAAAATTAGCAGTAACAATGTTAATTGAAAAAAAAAAAAAAACCAACAGAACAGCTGAAGTAGTCAGTTATTTATCTTGAGACACAGAGACAAGACTCTCCAGTGAGAACCAGAATTCAGTAGAATTCACCAAAATGCAGCAATATAAAAACTTTACCTCATGCCAGTCTTCGAGTTTGTTGTCAGAAAGATCTAGTTCCGACACATGAGCACAGAAGGCAGCAATTTCTTTTTCATCTCCTGCACATGTTATTCCACAGCTGTTCAACACCAGTACACTTGGGAGGTTGAGGCGATCTGAATCGGGGGCGGGGTGGGGTGGGGTGGGGAACACAACACTTTCTAAATCAGCCTGATTCTTGTCTACATACATTCAGCCCCCAGGAATCAAAATCAAACAGCACAAAATTACACGAGGACCTGGAAAATACAGAATATGATGGGATCAAAGGGTACTGAATTTAACGGGAAACAGTCAAATATGGACCAGGAGGAGAACAAAAGTACTGGACTAGTACAACCCAAAGTCTTGCAGGCTTCCCCCCATGGCAGGATTGCTGATCTCAACTACAAACAACACAGCTGTCATCCTTGCTATGATCTTATCATCTGAACACTAGAAACTGTGATTCATCTGGACCACCACTGCCTTCTAATTGGCCTCAATTCTTTCTTTTTAAAAATTTAGTTCAAAAGTATCATTCTGGATAGCTCTTTTCTGTCTGATGTGTATTTCCACCAATTGCTGCCCTTGAAAATTATTTCAAGCCATTAGTTAGTCTACTGTGAAATCACTATTTTCAAATTCCTACCATTGAGGAAATCCTCCTCACTTAAGTGGATTCATTAAAAATCTACGTCTCTTTCTCTCATACTTCTCTGCCAATCATTTCTGTTTCATATCCATGTAGAATGTGTCCTTTATGAAAATTAGACATTTAAAAATACATCATTGTAATGGGAGAAAGTATTGCAGGGTCTTAAACCATTTAATGAATTTGGTCCAACTACTGCCTGATTCAAAAATACGTGTCAATAAGACCATGCTTCTTGCCCTAGGAAAAAGGACAGACATGAGAATTCAGCCACTCTTTCCCTATCTGGTATGAAATAAGGACTCACAAAGGAAATATTTGATTCATGGAGGCCTCACATCATATAATTTTTCAACTCAGCACTTTCCAGTACCAAATTTTCAGCATGGAAATGAAGCTTGGAAAAAAAATGACTAAGTAAGAAAGCCACCTCTTTCTGCCATTCCAATTTATATGGAGTGATAAGACAGTTGTATTGAGGAACACAGGAACTAAAACACTGTCAATATTGATCTCCCACACTCACCAAGAACTACATCCAAGAGCTGTTCAATACGCATGAGCCTAACACGTAAGCGAGAGACACATCTTGCACATTTCTAAATGCTGTAGATCTCTGCTCACACCATACCCCCTCTCCTAGATCTATGTCTTTATCTCCTCCCTAACCAAATTCTACATTCTTAAAGAGTCCGTTCAAGTCTCATAGCTTTGAACCCTTTCCTGATCGTATTTATTAACTCTCTCCTAAATTTCTTTCCCAATCACTGTGCCAATCATTTGGCTCAACGTGAACTGCACATAACTGTGTTAGATGCTTGTAAATGTGAGTATCTTGTAATCCAATTAGATTGTAAGGTCACTGAGGGCACAGGCCAGTCTTGGACTATCTCACATCCTCTGAAGTTCCTCGTCAGAACACATATTTGAAACATCACCACTCAGATATTGTTCGCGCCTTATGAGCGCAAGTAAGCCAGCTTCCAGCCAGTCTGTAGGAAAAGAGATCCTTTTGGGTTTTTCAAAAAACTGAAGTCCTAACAAGAAAGAAAGACTATGCAACTCGAATTCCAAAATAAAGGAAATAACTTACAAACAAGGCAATATCTGGTTTGATGTCCTAAGTACTAAGCTCCAGTAAATAAATGTTTTAGGTCACGTCTATCTTACCTTTCATAGGAGAGCCCTGAGGTGTGGCTGGGACGTGGACTCCCATCCCAGGACCACGACGGTAAGGAAAGTTTTCAGGACTATATTTTTCACATAATACTTGCATAAAACTCCTTCCACTAGGTTGATCCATCTTCCTTTCCTAAAATTCTACAAGAAACCAAGAAATCATCCAAGTTACTCATTTAGCATAGAAGAAATTTGTATCGCAAACCGATTATTTAGAATGCACCAGCCCAGGCAGTACAGACATATGAGACACAGTCAACGCTCCCAGGAATATACGCTGTGGTGAGACCTTACGATATAGGGAGGCTACATATGTAGACAAATGACAGCAATGCAGTCCAGTATATGATAACTGCAATCCAGAATAACAGTGCCACAAGATGTTGATGAGGAGACTCATTTCCAGCCAACGGAAATAGAAAGACTTTGGCCTGGAACATGGGGTTTATGTGGTAAGTTAGAGGAAAAAGGACTAAAAAGAAAGGTATAGACTCAACATCAGATTAAAGAGTTTAGATGAATCCGTTGATATTTATCCTTCAAAATCCATTCTCCTCTTCTTCCACCCTAAAAGAATTTTTAACTGTATACATCGGACTTAGGGATGAGTATATGACTAGGTTCTAGTTGACGGGATAGAAATGGTCTATGGCAGATAGCCAGAGTAATGCCTTTGCCTCCTTCCTGGTCTCTGGCTCAATTCTATTGCCCAGAAAACAAATACCACCTTGCACTACGGGCCCAAAAAACACACCCCGAGGAAGGAAAACAAAGAGCTGAAAGGAACCTAAGTCCCTGAGGACTTCATGGAACTGGGCTGCCATAATGGTGCTGGCTTGCATATCTCTGGAAATTTCTGTGAAAGATATATAACCTTCTGTTTTAGTTAAGCCAGGGTTCAGTTTTTCAATTACTTACAAATGGACCTAATCCTAACTAATACAGAATGTCATTTCTTTTGGTTTTGAGTTTGGGTAGCATCTTCAGTGTCTAACCTCAGCTTAGGGTCCAAATATACAGTAACTCTAGCATCCTCTCAGTACTCACGCAGAGGTTAAAACAGGTAATGTTAAAAATATGCTAGGGGCCCCTAGATGGCTCATTCAGTTGAGTGTTTGACTCTCGATTTTGGCTCTGGTCATGAACCCAGGGTCATGGCATTGAGCCCTGAGTTGGGCTCCATGCTGAACATGGAGCCTGCTTGAGAGTCTCTTTCTCTCTCCCTCTGCCCCCTCCCATGCTCGTGCCCTCTCTCTAAAATAAATAAATAAACAAGCAAACAAAACAAAGTAAAATGCTAACTTCTGACAGCCTGCTAACCCATTATCTTGAGGGGCTGGCCTATGTATGAGCTATATTGAATATAAATCAAAATGTAGGCAACTAATTGACCTCCATAGTTCCAACTATCAGATGCTAAGCTTTCTACTAAAATAATCATAAAAAGGAAGGTGAGTTAAGAGTACTCTAAGAAGAAGGGATAACATGTAAAAAGGTATAACAATCAGAATGCACAATGGCCTAACAGAAAATAGCATAAGGAGTACCTAATCAGGAACCTCAGAGGAGATCGTATGTACTACATTAAGAAGCTGGACTTTATCCTGTAGAAAACAAGAAGAAACTAACAGGTTTTAAGAACGGGAATACAACAATTAAAATTTGTAGGAAGCTCTTTTTGGCAATCAAGTAGCTGATGAATAAGAGGAAATACATATCAAAGGCAGGGAGAAGAGCTAGAAGGATACCACAAAAATATAGGAGAGACCTCAGGCAAGGAAAATAAAAGCAAAAATACATTATTGGGACTACATCAAAATAAAAAGCTTTTGCACAGCAAAGGAAACCATCAACAGAACAAAAGGCAACCTACTAAACAGGAAAAGATATTTATAAATGATGTATCTGATAAGGGGTTAATATTCAAAACATATAAAGAACTTATCCAACTCAACACTAAAAAAAAGACCAGTTAAGATATGGGCAGAGGACCTGAATAGACACTTTTCCAAAGAAGATGTACAGATCGCCAATTGGCCCATGAAAAGCTCAAGCATACTAATCATCAGGAAAATGCAAATCAAAACCATAATGAGGTAACACCTCACATCAGTCAGAATGGCTGCTATCAAAAAGACAAGAAACGAGTGTTGGAAGAGGATGTGGAATAAAGGGAACCCTCATGCACTACCGGTGGGAATGTAAATTGGTGCAACCACTGTGAAAAACAGTATTGAGGTTCCCCCCAAAGTTCAAAATAGAGATACCATATAATCAGTTTTTCCACTACTGAGTACCCAAAGAAAGTGAAAACACTAACTCGAAAAGGTATATGCACCCCTATGTTCACTGCAGCATTACTTACAATAGCCAAGATATGGAAGCAATCCAAGTGCCCACAGACAGATGAATGGATAAAGCTGTGGTATGTGTGTAGGTATGTATTCATACATACCTACATACATACATACAATGAAATATTACTCGGCCATAAAAAAGAACGAGATCTTGCCATCTGGGACAACATGGATGAACCTAGAGGGCATTATGCTAAATGAAATGAGCCAGAGAGAGAAAAACAAATACCATATGATTTCACCTATATATGGAATTTAAAAAACAAAACAAACAAAAAGACAGACCTTTAAATACAAAGAAAAACTGATGGCTGACAGAGGGGAGACAGGTTGGGAGATGGGCAAAATAGATAAGAAAGGGGATGCGTCTGGATGGCTCAGTCAGTTAAGCGTCTGACTTTGGCTCAGGTCATGATCTCGCAGCTTGTGAGTTCGAGCCCCGCGTGGGGCTCTGTGCTGACAGCTCAGATCCTGGAGCCTGCTTCGGATTCTGTGTCTCCCTCTCTCCCTGCCCCTCCCCAGCTCATATTCTCTCTCTCAAAAATAAACATGAAAAAAAAAA